GTTGCGCGGCTCGATAATTTAGTTTGAGTTGCAGGAATTATTACCAAACAAATAACTGATATGATCGTAAAGTAAAATGCTAGTATCGGGTCAGTATATTAAAAATGGATCGAGGAACATCGATTAACGCCAATCTAGTCTGTTCCAGATTTTAGTTTCGCTTCAAAGCAAAGCAAAACTAATAATTATCGTGGCGCGTTGACATCCTTTATGCGCTATGAAGAAGCATGCAATGGCATAATTGCATTAATAGTTTTTTTAATTTTTTCTAATACCTCATTCATGATTCAAAACAAATTTGTTTTAACTGAAGCCCTGGTTCTTTTACAATTGCAATAGTGCAAAACTTGATCAGTAATTGTGAAACAAAGGCAAAAGCGCGGCGTCTGCACTCACAACTAACTCAGCTCGTGTGACGCGTAGTACGTGAACAGTGAGGGTGTTCTTATCAGTTATCACTTAAATGGTTAGGCAAAAGTGAAAAACAATTTTAAAAATATTGTTTTAAAAACCTTTTTAAAATCCCGAGGCGCGCTATTTTGTAAAAATTTAGAAAATCATCATTTCTTTGTATCACGTTGTATATTGTGACCCTCATGGTTGTTTCACTATCAACGATCAACTATAGTGAAGGGTTTCTACGATACAGGGGAGCCGCGCAGGGGGTCATACAACGTATGACAATCATTCCTAAGCTAAACTTTAAATTAACACATTTATTAATTACTACATATCCTAGTACATCATTTTATAGTTACTGAGCTACTCCCTTAAATATTATTCCAAGATCTTGGTCGACCGTACCCAGGAACCCTGACCGGATGGGGCTTAACTTTGAAAGTAAAAGAGTTGGAGACTTCCGGTTTTTTGTAACATGTTCCTCTTTTAAAAGTAACGTTACCTCTCCAGGAGGAAAATTCAAGACAACGTAATTGTTGAGTTATATCAAAATCTCCAGAAAAGTCCCCTTTCGGGCCGATCAAAAGTTTGCAACTTTAACTTTGCGGATTCCTGTACTCTGGTTGGCTGAATTGTGTCACGTGGTAGCTGCCTGAACATTGGAATACGCCACGCGTGCAAATCATGCTTGTTGTTGCGCGCGAGGTCAAGCCGTCTGTTTAAATTAAACCAACTCTAGTACCACCACCAGCCGGTAACTTTTCATGGGTACGAAGTAACCAATTAGGGCTATTAAATGCCGAACACAAGGATATTTCGTATTCGGATCATATGCCTGCAGGCTGTCTGTCGCTTAAGACCATGGTCGCTCTTAACTGAGCGATAAGTGACGTTAAGTGAGACCGTGAGCACCACTTCTTGCCAATTTGCTTTTGAACTACGGCCCAATCATGAAGTTAAACAGTTCAAGTTGTGTTTTAACGGCAAAATACAGCGAATTCTAGCCCTTGAAAGTTGTAGGTTTGGAAGATCAATACGGCTGCTTTAATTCTTAAAAGTCTTAAGTTAGAACGGCCAAAACACCCTATTCGGCGTCAGCCAGCTACACCCAGGAACCCTGACCGGATGGGGCTTAACTTTGAAAGTAAAAGAGTTGGAGACTTCCGGTTTTTTGTAACATGTTCCTCTTTTAAAAGTAACGTTACCTCTCCAGGAGGAAAATTCAAGACAACGTAATTGTTGAGTTATATCAAAATCTCCAGAAAAGTCCCCTTTCGGGCCGATCAAAAGTTTGCAACTTTAACTTTGCGGATTCCTGTACTCTGGTTGGCTGAATTGTGTCACGTGGTAGCTGCCTGAACATTGGAATACGCCACGCGTGCAAATCATGCTTGTTGTTGCGCGCGAGGTCAAGCCGTCTGTTTAAATTAAACCAACTCTAGTACCACCACCAGCCGGTAACTTTTCATGGGTACGAAGTAACCAATTAGGGCTATTAAATGCCGAACACAAGGATATTTCGTATTCGGATCATATGCCTGCAGGCTGTCTGTCGCTTAAGACCATGGTCGCTCTTAACTGAGCGATAAGTGACGTTAAGTGAGACCGTGAGCACCACTTCTTGCCAATTTGCTTTTGAACTACGGCCCAATCATGAAGTTAAACAGTTCAAGTTGTGTTTTAACGGCAAAATACAGCGAATTCTAGCCCTTGAAAGTTGTAGGTTTGGAAGATCAATACGGCTGCTTTAATTCTTAAAAGTCTTAAGTTAGAACGGCCAAAACACCCTATTCGGCGTCAGCCAGCTACATGTACGAAGTAACCAATTAGGGCTATTAAATGCCGAACACAAGGATATTTCGTATTCGGATCATATGCCTGCAGGCTGTCTGTCGCTTAAGACCATGGTCGCTCTTAACTGAGCGATAAGTGACGTTAAGTGAGACCGTGAGCACCACTTCTTGCCAATTTGCTTTTGAACTACGGCCCAATCATGAAGTTAAACAGTTCAAGTTGTGTTTTAACGGCAAAATACAGCGAATTCTAGCCCTTGAAAGTTGTAGGTTTGGAAGATCAATACGGCTGCTTTAATTCTTAAAAGTCTTAAGTTAGAACGGCCAAAACACCCTATTCGGCGTCAGCCAGCTACACCCAGGAACCCTGACCGGATGGGGCTTAACTTTGAAAGTAAAAGAGTTGGAGACTTCCGGTTTTTTGTAACATGTTCCTCTTTTAAAAGTAACGTTACCTCTCCAGGAGGAAAATTCAAGACAACGTAATTGTTGAGTTATATCAAAATCTCCAGAAAAGTCCCCTTTCGGGCCGATCAAAAGTTTGCAACTTTAACTTTGCGGATTCCTGTACTCTGGTTGGCTGAATTGTGTCACGTGGTAGCTGCCTGAACATTGGAATACGCCACGCGTGCAAATCATGCTTGTTGTTGCGCGCGAGGTCAAGCCGTCTGTTTAAATTAAACCAACTCTAGTACCACCACCAGCCGGTAACTTTTCATGGGTACGAAGTAACCAATTAGGGCTATTAAATGCCGAACACAAGGATATTTCGTATTCGGATCATATGCCTGCAGGCTGTCTGTCGCTTAAGACCATGGTCGCTCTTAACTGAGCGATAAGTGACGTTAAGTGAGACCGTGAGCACCACTTCTTGCCAATTTGCTTTTGAACTACGGCCCAATCATGAAGTTAAACAGTTCAAGTTGTGTTTTAACGGCAAAATACAGCGAATTCTAGCCCTTGAAAGTTGTAGGTTTGGAAGATCAATACGGCTGCTTTAATTCTTAAAAGTCTTAAGTTAGAACGGCCAAAACACCCTATTCGGCGTCAGCCAGCTACATGTACGAAGTAACCAATTAGGGCTATTAAATGCCGAACACAAGGATATTTCGTATTCGGATCATATGCCTGCAGGCTGTCTGTCGCTTAAGACCATGGTCGCTCTTAACTGAGCGATAAGTGACGTTAAGTGAGACCGTGAGCACCACTTCTTGCCAATTTGCTTTTGAACTACGGCCCAATCATGAAGTTAAACAGTTCAAGTTGTGTTTTAACGGCAAAATACAGCGAATTCTAGCCCTTGAAAGTTGTAGGTTTGGAAGATCAATACGGCTGCTTTAATTCTTAAAAGTCTTAAGTTAGAACGGCCAAAACACCCTATTCGGCGTCAGCCAGCTACACCCAGGAACCCTGACCGGATGGGGCTTAACTTTGAAAGTAAAAGAGTTGGAGACTTCCGGTTTTTTGTAACATGTTCCTCTTTTAAAAGTAACGTTACCTCTCCAGGAGGAAAATTCAAGACAACGTAATTGTTGAGTTATATCAAAATCTCCAGAAAAGTCCCCTTTCGGGCCGATCAAAAGTTTGCAACTTTAACTTTGCGGATTCCTGTACTCTGGTTGGCTGAATTGTGTCACGTGGTAGCTGCCTGAACATTGGAATACGCCACGCGTGCAAATCATGCTTGTTGTTGCGCGCGAGGTCAAGCCGTCTGTTTAAATTAAACCAACTCTAGTACCACCACCAGCCGGTAACTTTTCATGGGTAGACGAGTCCAATTCGGCGCGCGTCTTGGTAGGTTATATAATAGACATACAATTTGTACGGTACCAAAAGAGGAAATTATTTCTGTCTAGGAGCAGTTCACTGTCCTTGACTAAGTACTTTTACTAAGTAGTTAGTCTCTTGCTGCTACTTAAATTGTTTTGCTTAGTGGATTTCTTTAGACTATTTGTAAATGATGATTTCGCATTGGTTATAATATGCTAGTTCTTTAACCAATATAATTATGTAATATTTGAAGTAATCATTGTCTGGCACTATAACAGCCAGATGATTAGGACGACTGTTTTAAGAATAAGTAATGATGTTTATGTCATTATTCTTGATTTGATTTGGATTGATTCTTGGTACATCACATTCAGAGAGCTTAACTGTTCTGTTGAACACTTATCCTGGTAACATCTCTTTGTTACATTAATGACTGTTCCACAAAATCTTTTAAAAAGTTTTAGATTCGTCAATCTGGTTTTTCTATTCAATGAATTAATGGCAATAAAATTTAAATTTTGTTTTACCTAAATTTTGTTTTACTTAAATGGGTGTGATCACCCTACTTTTTCCAATACCTCTCTGCACTGAGGACACTGAATTTAATCGTGAAATTCTTCTCCTTTTGAATTTATGACTGAAACCGATTAGTAAGAGATTGTCCCATCAATGCGTACAATAACTATGGATCAAGCATACTCTTAAATAGAAAAATAGAATGAGTAACAACTCTCACGCCTTGAAATGCTTGATCAGAGGGGTTTGTTAGGGTTGGTCAGTACTATTACGAGAAACAGTTGTAGTTTGTACTGAAAGTTAGCACATCCAAAAAGCTATTTTAAGCAACATGTTTACATCTTTATTATATCAGAAGAAGCAAATTGGGGTAAAATAACAATATCTTTACTTTTTTAAGTTAAAATGTGTCTACGATCTTGCTAAATATTTCGATTCCATTCAATGTCTACTAAATTGGGAAAAGTTCAATCAATGGATATTACTTATTATTTGAGTTTAAATTTTAATGATAACTATGAATATTAAATATTATTCAGGAACACATGAACCAAAATGGTAATGAAAAATATAGTTCCAACTCTGCTGAAGAGATTTTCGAAGCGAAAGAGAAAACATGTGTTAAACGTATGTTGCTGTAAATTAACTTATAACGATTGTTATTATCATTACCTGTTTACGGATTTTTTATACTTTTAGGCTGATTGAAGTAAAAGCATTTTTTATACTTTATACAAGCATTTTTTATACTTTTAGGCTGATTGAAGTAAACTCTGTAAATGCATCTTTAAATTCAATTCAAGTTTTAGAGGGTCAAACTATTTCAGAAAACCCATTACGGTGTTATGTACGCTGTAATGAATGAAGATGAGGCATGCCTTCTGTCAGCTATTAAAGCAGGAGCCCCCCTTAATTCACACATTGATCTTGAAGACACATCTGTTGCAGGTAAAGATTTTTTAATCAGCTAAACTAACTTTATCTTGAAATGTCTTAGCATGAAATATTTTTTCATTAGCACTTACTTCCATGCTTGGACAAATAATAAAAGTGTACTTGATAATATCACATTAATGCTCAGGTGATCTAGACTCTAAAACACCACTCCACTGGGTTGCATCACGTGGTAATGCTAACTTCCTAAAGCTACTGCTAGAAGCTGGAGCTGATCCCAATGCTAAGGGAACATGGAGTGGGCGCACTCCTCTTTTAGAGTGCTCTGATAACATAGGTCAGTCAATAGTCAACAGTTTCATAATAGTGCTAGTTAATATTTCGCCTATTCAACTCCAAAATCATCTTTTACTAGATACAATTATATACAAGTAGCATGGTCTCAAGTTTGTTAACATCTACGATACAATTGCTGTCTAATATTGAGAACATGTTAATGCTAAAATAACTGTCCACCTCAGAATGTACAAGACTGCTCCTAGCAGCTGGAGCTAACGTAAACGCTGTGGACTCTGAAGGGAACAGTGTGTTACATTACACTGCTAGAACTGAGCAGTTCTCTTACCTCCAGGTTAGAACAAACTTGCCAGTTTATTGTGAAACTAAAAGTATTGGTCCCAACTCGCGAGAACATGTAAAGTAATTAGTTTCTTCCTAAAAAGTAAATTTAAGTCCTCCAGAACCGTTTATGCCGTGCTATTTTACATTACAAGGCTCTGTTTCAGTACCGGTTTTTGATCCAATGTGGAGCTAAAGCTGATGTAACGAACAGATTAGGAGAGACATCAATACACAAGCTGTGCAGTTACAGCAATGACACCCTTCAAAGATCCAAGGCGCTAAACATCTGTATTAAGAACGGTCAGTAAGTTGAGGTGTGGTCTATTAGATACAATTTACTTTGTTCCAGTGTTATATTGGGGAATGTTGTTCAATGAAAATGGTAATACCTCACTCAGCTCTGTGCAGTTAGAATTTAAATGATTCTGTTGAGAAAAGTATCTACTATGTTATGTGACCAGAATACTTTCTAACGTTTAAATTATATTATACAAGTCTCCCTGTACTTTATGAGATGTTGGTAATTGGAGTGCAGTTAACACTCTGTCTGCCGTGCTGTCCCTTCTAGTCCCTTCTTCTCCCTTATTGTCTTGCACCCCACTCACTCTCAAATCCGTCCAGGAAGTCTCCGCACGAGCCTGACAAATTGTCTGCACTTGCACCATGCTGCTGTTAACCAATCAGATTACACGATAACATATCACGTGTCACAGTTCACCCAATCAGGGTGAGGGAATGTTGGAGTAGGAAGATAGCGAACAATAGGGGGAGATGAGTGGGGCAGTGAGGGAAGTGTGGGGAGATCTAACAGGGTTAATGGGCGCGCTTAGCACGTGCAGTACGTGCCAAACTGTCAGATAACAGACACTAGTTTCCAGGAGGCAGTGTTAGCACTTCAGCGTAACTTGAATATCAGACTTATAGATTCTAGATCTGAAGTCTGGTAGATCTGGTGCTCTGTCTTGTTCTTAAAGAGGGTGTGGTTTATAGCTGTTGGTCCAAAGTGTTAACTTAAACAGTTTATTTTGGAAGCAGATTGATCGGTGGCCTATATCTAACATGGGACTTATTAAACAAATTATAGCCTTTTAAAATGTTCACATAATTAGGTAACTTAGCTTGTTGTTGTCTGCATTCTGGATGGGATAAAGATTCACAAAGTTGTCGTATTTTATTCGTAACAGTTGATGATCTCATATTATTTCCAGTAAGAATAATATTCACTAAGAGCCCTTTCCTACGTTATGCTTAATTCTTTAAGGCTTACTATTACATTTTAAAACACAACTGCGTATGTAACTCCTCAAGTTTTATTTTTCACACGATCTATAAAAATATATGAATCGTTTGTCTACTGAAAGTAAGCAGCAGTAAACACAAAACATCACATTAGTGTTGTATCAACAACAAGCAATTGTTAATTTCGACAATCGACATCAATACTTAAGTAGACACTAAATAACATGACCCTACCCCATCAATTACAAAACACGTTGGATTGAAAATAATTTGCTGTGGAAAGTCGAGGATTTGATATTTTATACTTCACAAAGATTCATAGACCGACTGTTTTTCAGTCTAAATCGTAAAACTGAATCCAGTGGGCAGATGATTAATGCTTGTTATCAAGTGTTTACCAAAGGCACTTGATCACAGCCCTTAACTGGGATTAGTTAAACGTTTAAAGGGAATGATGTCACTTAAAGCTTGTCACATGAATACACTCTACATTTTACTAACCATAACGTGGCAATTTAACATGCTCGCTACATCACTCAACCAAATATGAAATATAAATACCGTTTACTGATTGCATGTTTGTAATGTGCTCCTGCCCCCTTAAACACTACTGCTATCTGTTGTAGTTGTCCTTAATATACACTGAACTGGTTGGGTGGGCGTGTTACAAAACCCCTGCAGGTACTTCAATGGAATGTTAAGCTGTACTGATTAGGAATATTCTCCATTGTTGTTCAACAGCTATTATATTGACCTAATTCACCAAAAGTTTTTGAAACGGAATTAAAATTAACAAATTAAATCGAGTTAAATTGAATCGTTGTGATTTTCAGGTTGTAATGTGAACAAGATAGATTACAACGGTAGAACGGCTCTTCACTTGGCGGCTGCTCACTCTAACGAGGAATGCGTTCAGGTAAAATTTCACTTTCACTTTCACTTTCACTTTCATTTTCATTTTCTATCTCAACAGATGGAATACTCCGAATTTATAAAAAATCCAAAGATAGTGTGTCCACCCTTTATTGAATGTTAAGCATGGGAATGTTAAGAATTTAAACTTCCCCAAATGTTCCCATGTAATGTGGTAACGACAGAGACATTTGTGTGTAAATGTTCATTTCCTGCAATATATCATATTGTGATGTTTACAAGTTTAAAACATGAGATAATTGTACGTTCTTTGAGCTACAATGGCGTGGAACTTAATAGCCAATTTTACGGAAGGAAAGTTAATTATTCATAAATTACAGGGCTCTTCATTTAAATGTATCCGAACGAAATGGTTTTGTTTTAACAAAACCCCGTGCTTCTCTCAAAAGAAGAGATCTTTCACTATGCTCAAATCTCTTACTTCAAGATCCCCAATACCTTGACAAGTATTTGGGAGATCATTCACTCTGCTCAAATCTCTTACTTCAAGATCCCCAATACCTTGACAAGTATTTGGGAGATCATTCACTCTGCTCAAATCTCTTACTTCAAGATCCCCAATACATTGACAAGTATTTGGGAGATCATTCACTCTGCTACAATCTCTTACTTCAATATCCCCGATACCTTGACAAGTATTTGGGAGATTGGGGCCTCTTACTTCAAGATCCCCAATACCTTGACAAGTATTCATTCACTCTGCTCAAATCTCTTACTTCAAGATCCCCAATACCTTGACAAGTATTTGGGAGATGGGGCCTCTTACTTCAAGATCCCCAATACCTTGACAAGTATTTGGGAGATTGGGGCCTCGTTGTATCGCTGGCACATACCCATTCTCAGTACCCACGTACGGCAAGGAATTTAATTTTAATGTTCTTTAATGGTTTCGTACAGTGTGTATACTTATTACCTTGCTGTTATTATAGACACGCCTAGGTTACTAGGTCAGTGTAGCAATGTACTTAACCAGATCGTGTTCAATAGATTCTACGATTTGTCTTTTATTGTCCCCTGAGAAAAAAGAGGCAAATAGAGGTTTTTATGTCGCTTTGTTGTAATCAAATTTAATGGAGCTGCGAGGAGTACAATTAATCAAACAGATAGACATCCTATTTGATTTTAATGTAATTTCTCCCCAAATGTCACGACGAAAGCTTGTTAAATTAAAAGATCCTTGTCAAATTCAGGGCTATTAGTAGTAGTAGTGATATTCATCACTAGCTAATCCATTATTGGAACGGTTGGAATGTCTACTTGCAAAATCCATCATAACACTCACTACTTACTTACTACTACTTACTCATAACCTATTCTTAACGGTTACTCTATCATGAATTGTATGGGTTCATTTAAAAAAGCTGCTACACCCAAACCTGATAGGACTTATAATAATACGCGCCCCTTTTTGGTGTCAAATACCAAATACCATATATTCATCACTAGCTAATCCATTATTGGAATGGTTGGAATGTCTACTTGCAAAATCTATCATAACACTCATAACCTATTATTCTTAACGGTTACTCTATCATAACACTCATAACCTATTATTCTTAACGGTTACTCTATCATAACACTCATAACCTATTCCTAACGGTTACTCTATCATAACACTCATAACCTATTATTCTTAACGGTTACTCTATCATAACACTCATAACCTATTATTCTTAACGGTTACTCTATCATAACACTCATAACCTATTCCTAACGGTTACTCTATCATAACACTCATAACCTATTATTCTTAACGGTTACTCTATCATAACACTCATAACCTATTATTCTTAACGGTTACTCTATCATAACACTCATAACCTATTATTCTTAACGGTTACTCTATCATAACACTCATAACCTATTCCTAACGGTTACTCTATCATAACACTCATAACCTATTATTCTTAACGGTTACTCTATCATAACACTCATAACCTATTATTCTTAACGGTTACTCTATCATAACACTCATAACCTATTATTCTTAACGGTTACTCTATCATAACACTCATAACCTATTCCTAACGGTTACTCTATCATAACACTCATAACCTATTATTCTTAACGGTTACTCTATCATAACACTCATAACCTATTATTCTTAACGGTTACTCTATCATAACACTCATAACCTATTATTCCTAACGGTTACTCTATCATAACACTCATAACCTATTATTCTTAACGGTTACTCTATCATGAATTGTATGGGTTCATTTAAAAAAGCTGCTACTCCCAAACCTGATAGGACTTATAATAATACGCGCCCCTTTTTGGTGTCAAATACCAAATACCATATAAATTTACATTGTTACCTGTTATTATACTTGACAGTCTCCTGACAACGGCACTAATAATAACTCTGTATAATATGATCTGACAGGAACATGTTACCACAGTTAACAATGTGTTTCCCAGGACCTGTTGTCTTATCTTACAAGGTAACAGGTATTCTGGTAATAGGTATTCTGATTTCTGACAGATCCCATTTTACACAGCTACATTTAGGAATGCACAGAGTCGTAACATACAGGTTATATAACCTGACTGTGACGTCACAATCATCAGGATTATAAACCGATCATATTAGGAACCCTGTTTGGTGGGATCCGCTAGTATTCATACTTTACGTTGGAATTATTTCATAATATAACAGTTCCACTTTTAAGGAGTACTAACATAAGTAGGTAAATATTATAATCATTGAGCTTTATGAGGTTTATAACCCGAATCATTACTGTACCAGTAATCATTGTAACTGCAGAATTAGCATCTTGACTTCAGATCAACTACCGGACCTAAAACCGCAACCAGGAACCCTGGCCTCTGGTCTAATTTACCATTACCATCCGCCTTATACAGTTGTACTGGTTGATAAGGGTTGGTAACCGGCAGGTTGCGGTCTAGAACCGGCCGGTAGTAGTGGTGTACACTGTACAGGGTGCCATCAGGCCGGTAGTAGTGGTGTACACTGTACAGGGTGCCATCGCCCATCAGGCCGGTAGTAGTGGTGTACACTGTACAGGGTGCCATCAGGCCGGTAGTAGTGGTGTACACTGTACAGGGTGCCATCGCCCATCAGGCCGGTAGTAGTGGTGTACACTGTACAGGGTGCCATCAGGCCGGTAGTAGTGGTGTACACTGTACAGGGTGCCATCAGGCCGGTAGTAGTGGTGTACACTGTACACTGTACAGGGTGCCATCAGGCCGGTAGTAGTGGTGTACACTGTACAGGGTGCCATCAGATTTAGGACCCATAAAACTCTGGAGACTTCAATGTATAACTTGTTATCAGAATGCGGTTAACTTTAAATGATAACTTATAAACATAAAGATACCGGTAATAATGGCGATAACTGAGTAAAATTGTTATTTCTCGTTCCAACTTAACGTTCGTTTCATAGATTATAAAACTAGGCATGTTACTCAGCTTAATATAAAAGTAACTATTAGAACCCACTGTAACTATTAGAACCCACTGTAGAAACCGAGTACATTTAAAGATAACGAGCGTAACATTGAGTAATAACATTTAAACAATGTCATTCATTAATCAATATTAATATTGATAAGCGTATTATATTTGAAACTGATTGGAGTTGGGTTAAAAACATATAAGTGATACGATAGTTTAACTTGTATTATATTTGAGATTGTTCACCAAACTTATTTATTTAAGATGTGCGTTTACCATGACCAGGATGAATTTGTAATGAACAGGGATAATACATGCTTAACCAGCTCAGTAAATAAGGTCACTAGTTTGTTGGGCAAGATAAAATTAGCGTGTATTATTTTGCACAATATTCATGGCGATGTACCCAATATATACAACCGTTTTACAGCCGTGTTTGTAAATAGAGTTGATACAACAACACGTGACACTACCTGATAGGATATTTATAGAACAGTGTCTTCATCATCATGAAGTTAAAGATAGATTTTTAATGCGATTTGCTGAAAATGTACGTCAACTATTTTACTTTATTTACCAGCGTTGACGTCAATTGCGGCTTATTGAACCAGGTCAGCGGTTGCAAACAATTTCTGCAAATTTCTTAAATTCATTTACAAATTCCCTCCTAATCCCCAAATAGCTGTGTCTTCTCAAACATCAGCCTAGAAATTGTGTTAGGTGACTGGATAGTTGATACGTTACCATGGAGCCATTACATTAATGTTATGCAAAGGATATAACTCTCAGAACATTTACGTCATTAATTTATCAATTAATTATTTAATTAAACACTAACAAGTCAGTAATAAGTTTGCTGTATTGACAAGGATACGTTGTAATTTCTATCCAATCAAACCGACCTGCATAACAGCCTTCTAGCGTACAAATAAAATAGTGCAATAGAAAGAGAATGGAAGAAATTGCTCGTTAGAAATGTTTTTTTAACCACGTGAGTAAGTCAGGAATGTCAGAAACCATGGAATTTTGACTATTTGGTGTGCCCAAGTGCCACTAAGTTGAATCATTTACAATTAATTTGGTGGTCCGCTTTTTTATACTGACACACAGAGAAAAGTTGGATAATGTAAGGTATAATGCCGACTTGTGACAGTTAGCTCACATACCCCTCACATACCCCTCACATACCCCTCACATACCCCTCACAATTCACATACCCCTCCCATACCCCTCACATACCCCTCACATACCCCTCACATACCCCTCACATACCCCTCACATACCCATCACATACCCCTCACATACCCCTCACAAACCCCTCCCATACCCCTCCCATACCCCTCACATACCCCTCACATACCCCTCACATACCCCTCACATGCCCCTCACATACCCCTCACATACCCCTCACATACCCCTCACATACCCCTCACATACCCCTCACATACCCCTCACACACCCCTCACATACCCCTCACATACCCCTCACATACCCCTCACATGCCCCTCACATACCCCTCACATGCCCCTCACATACCCCTCACATACCCCTCACACACCCCTCACATACCCCTCACATACCCCTCACATACCCCTCACATACCCCTCACACACCCCTCACATACCCCTCACATGCCCCTCACATGCCCCTCACATACCCCTCACATGCCCCTCACATACCCCTGACATACCCCTCACATACCCCTCACATACCCCTCCCATACCCCTCACAATTCACATACCCCTGACATGCCCCTCACATACCCCTCACATACCCCTCACATACCCCTCACATACCCCTCACATGCCCCTCACATACCCCTCACATACCCCTCACATACCCCTCACATACCCCTCACATACCCCTCACATACCCCTCACATACCCCTCACATACCCCTCACATACCCCTCACATACCCCTCACATACCCCTCACATACCCCTCACATGCCCCTCACATACCCCTCACATACCCCTCACATACCCCTCACATGCCCCTCACATACCCCTCACATACCCCTCACATACCCCTCACATGCCCCTCACATAACCCTCACATACCCCTCACATACCCCTCACATACCCCTCACATGCCCCTCCCACCAGATGTTGCTGAGGAATAGCGGAGTAGTAGATGCAGCAGACTATGATGGAATGACCCCACTACACTTCGCCAGCAGAAGGAGGGGAGGAGAGGGCTGTGTGGCTATCCTTCTTAATGCTGGTGTGTTACATTCACATTTTAAACCTTCCAGTAGCGTATTGGTTCCTCATCTAGATTCAATTAGCATTTAGCACGTACTTGAAACTTTAAAACTTTTGGCAAACCTTACCGGATATCACACCATGGAATATGAAATTACACACCACGTGACATGACGTCACACCACGTGACATGACGTCACACCACATGACATGACGTCACACCACGTGACATGACGTCACACCACGTGACATGACGTCACACCACGTGAGATGAAGTCACACCACATGACATGACGTCACACCACGTGACATGACGTGACACACGATTCCCTCTCAGGAGCAGAGCCGGACTACGAGTCAGGTAACTCCGGCTACACTGCACTCCAGCTAGCAGTCCAACACAACAATGTGGCTAGTGTGCGGTTGTTGCTACATTACGGCGCTAAACCTGTCACTCAGTCCCCTAGCTATGATATGTGAGTTATTAATCTTAAATTGGCTGATTTGCGGATCAGTGACACACTTTAATGATGTCAGGAATTCTGATTTGCTTTTGTAGCTTTGTGTTTAGTTTTTCTTTCATATTTCAAGTCGCTAATAAACAGGTACTAACTCCCTACTGTAGTATAATTCCATGAAACATGCGTTAAGAGTCCCTCAACTATCCTATCACCTAGGAGATCTTCATCCTATTGAATAACAAATTCACGCCGATTGTACAAGACATGCTAGCAATTAGAGCATATGATTAGCCGTCCAACGAGCCAGTGAACCGATAAACAACGTACTGGAGCCCGCTTATCTTGTTCCATGTTTCTTCTCACTGGACCTCTTCAAATTATCACTTCAAACCCTGAACTTATTCAAGTGTTATCAGTTAGTAGTAGTTCCATTTCAATAATATTACACCGCATTCCATCCCAGCGTATCCTCCTGAAGGTGGAGCGTTATTTAGTAATAATAAGTCTTTGCACTGGTTTACAGAGAGTATTAAGGTATTAACGTTACAAAACCCATAAAACTGGCAACAACCCAAATTTTACATAATGTAGATAAAAGATAAGATACGTTAAGTATTTGCACACTGCTATGTTAGGAGAGAACCGTGATAATGCGAATGATTTTAGTGGACTCACAGTAATTTAATTGTTCATTAATAATTCGACTTCTTATTATCTCTACCTCTGAACCCTGGGCAAGATGTTAAATTGTCTGGAATTGTTCAAATAAAAGTTTGAATTTAATAAAAGAGTTTCACCAGCATAATTTTTATTGGAAATTTGTTCTAAATATATAATATCATATTTCGAATTCTTGTGTTATGAGTCAGAAGGTTGTGGGTTGAATTTTGTGATGACCTGACACATTAGTGTTTAAAAAATGAAATTTAGCTGCTTTCAGAATTTTGCGTCATTTAGTACGAAACTTACGGAACTTACAAAAAGATTTTCAGTATTCATGCCTACTTGACACGTATTCCATGTTTACCTCAATCCTATTTCTTATTGTGAAAATCGTGGGTTTTGACCAAACTTTTAGCAAAGAATGCAGTAAAGAGGAATTTCGAACATTGTAGAACATTATAAAGCCACAATTCTTTGTTAGTACATGCTAACAACTATGGACTTTAAACCAGAATTTACCAAATTAGGTTTGGCCCGAATTTAAGTTCTTTATGAAGAACGCTTTAGATTTAAAACGAGTTGATCTTGTGATTCTCTAGGAATTTAGCAGTTTGATGATAATATTTTCTGTCACCATGATCTGAGAGAGGTCGCCAATAAACAAAATCAAAAAATATTTAATCTTCCTTTACCATTCCTTTTAAAGGAGGACCCCGGAACCTTTAAAACGAAAATTTATCAGCAATCCGGCCAGCTCCTAGCCTCCTACTCCTTAATCACATAACTCCTCACTGCTCCTTAATCACGTTACTCCTCACTGCTCCTTAATCACGTTACTCCTCACTGCTCCTTAATCACCTTACTCCTCACTGCTCCTTAATCACGTTACTCCTCACTGTTCCTTAATCACGTTACTCCTCACTGTTCCTTAATCACGTTACTCCTCACTGTTCCTTAATCACGTTACTCCTCACTTTTCCTTAATCACGTTACTCCTCACTGCTCCTTAATCACGTTACTCCTCACTGCTCCTTAATCACGTTACTCCTTACTGCTCCTTAATCACGTTACTCCTCACTGCTCCCTAATCACGTTACTCCTCACTGCTCCCTAATCACGTTACTCCTCACTGCTCCTTAATCACGTTACTCCTCACTGCTCCTTAATCACGTTACTCCCCACTGCTCCTTAATCACGTTACTCCTCACTGCTCCCTAATCACGTTACTCCTCACTGCTCCCTAATCACGTTACTCCTCACTGCTCCTTAATCACGTTACTCCTCACTGCTCCTTAATCACGTTACTCCTCACTGCTCCTTAATCACGTTACTCATCACTGCTCCTTAATCACGTTACTCCTCACTGCTCCTTAATCACGTTACTCCCCACTGCTCCTTAATCACGTTACTCCTCACTGCTCCCTAATCACGTTACTCCTCACTGCTCCCTAATCACGTTACTCCTCACTGCTCCTTAATCACGTTACTCCTCAGTAACTTACTCTCAATTTCAGCTGCAGGAGATCGTGTTGTGTTCGTCACACTTCCTGTATGTCTCGTAGTTCCCTGAGACAAGCTAACACTGAGGACACTCCCTCACTCCTCACTGCCTCCCAACTTATAGTCGCTAATGCTATCGGTTAGTTACTACTTCATAGTTACTACTTAGTTACTATAGTTACTACTTCATAGTTACTATAGTTACTACTCATAGTTACTTTATTAATACTTTGTAAATTTCTTGGTTTCTCATAAACTACTTTAAGAAAGTCTCCCATTAATTTAGCTGTTAGTTTTAAGCGAGAGGCAAGTTATCTTAAGTTGTTCTTGACAGACCCCTTTGGTAAATTTGACTGTTGAGTATAACTTGATTCATATCACTCACCAGTACTCTAGTATCAGTGAAGTCGTGAATGACGAATGTTAATGAGATTTTGCTTTTAAAAGATGATGTAATTTTGGTGTGGTAGCCCCTGCCTAGTATTTCTAGTAGTTATCAGTCTATTTAGGTATTGAGCAGTCTGGCAAGCGTGGAAGCTGGATTTGAAATGAGCTTGAAATCTCACTTGGCACTGCACCAGAGGGATTTACATGGTCACATATAATAGACTTTGCATCCCGTTTACCGGCTTTTCCCGCCCCGGTCATACTGTAGATAATATCTCATGATTCTGTGGAAACGACCTAGATCTCCAAGCTATCCTTGGTCGATCAGTCAGTTCCTTTGCTCATTACAACTTCTCCGTTTGGAAAATGTGATTTAATCCAATGTAACTGCCTGGTTACTGTATTGGGCATAAGCCCATATAATATCGTAATATTAATACCCATGCAGTATTGAATATTGAACAGTGGAGACAGAAGTAAAGACAGGGTAATTGAGCCAGGGTAATTTAGGGTAATTTACTCCGCAGTACTCCCTCCTGATATCTTGATTTACTGTGGTCTAGTCGTACTAATACCCGGTACTTTGAGCTACTTCATCAGGTTGACGCGACTACATTATCATCAGGTGATACAAACCCCACTAAAACGATCAGGGGTATGCATATTAATGGTATTCCCACAAACTTTGGTATTTTGAGAATGTTACGTCATATTAAAGCCATGAATTCTCTTAGTAATTGGTATTGAGGTTTCGGTAAGCATCCAATACCATGCTCGAATGTCACTGAAATAACTGTGTAACCTCTTATTGAATTGTATCAGATGCCATCGTGGAGTAGGTGGTCTCCTGCACCTTTTCCGCCTTGACATAAAAGAAAAAAACCTAGACATGCAACCTACAATTCGAAGGTGATTGCAGCCCTTACGGAAGACTATAAGGTCTTCATGCTTATATAATTAAATGATTAAATGATACAAACCCCACCAAAACGATCAGGGGAATGCATATATTAATGGTATTCCCACAAACTTTGGTATTTTGAGAATGTTATGTCATATTAATGCCATGAATTCTCGTAGTAATTGGGATTGAGGTTTTGGTAGGCATCCAATACCATGCTCGAATGTCACTGAAATAACGGTGTAACCTCTTAACTGAATTTATTGATGTTAATTACTCTAAATTCTAGTTCAAGGAAAGTATTGATTTTCGTAGAAACACATCCTTGCTAAGCAGTCAAGTAGATACACGATAATTTGAACTCTATCATTCGAATGAGGATCCTGTCACTCAAACGGCCAAATAAGGAAGTCTAGGTACCAAAGGCCAGCTTGAGTAACTTTCCTGCCAAAAATAACAACAGAGTGCAAGTTGCAGCCTACGTCATTGACTCGATATGTTTGGAATAAAGGGAAAAAGTAGGTACTGAGCAGTGTACTGGAAATGTAACTACCACATGGCCTGTTCAGTTACTTATTATCTTCAGTGTTTATTTAGATATCATTACATCGTGCAGCCGCTTGTGTAAAATGTAGCTAAATTTAAAACGAAATTCTTTTCGCTAATCTAATTTAGCGTGAACTGTTGGATTTAGTCATAAGAAGTAACGAGAGAAGAGAGTGATGTATATTTTGGGTTAAATTACCGGATCTGCTTACTACTGGGTACTCGGTAAACTGCACTAACTATCTAACCCGATCAAAGATGGGAGATTGATAGAACTGACGTATATCAAAATAGAAAGCTCAGCCAATAATTGTTACTAATTGAATAGTTTCTTCTACTTTTTACAAGGATAAAATCGTATATATGTATTGAAATTGTTACAGCGCAGCGGAGCAGACAAAGTACCACATGTGACATGTCACGTGGTGTCACATGTGACATGAGTCTTCCTGTCACGTGGTGTCACATGGTGTCACGTGTTAGGATATTACTGAGATCACCTGAGTTACAGCGATTACAGGTTTCACCCCCTACTGTAACATAAAGTAAAACTGAGACTTGTAGTAAACTTGTACTTTAGCGACTTTCTAATTTGTTACACACGTGTGCTACAGGGAATATACTGGCACAGTTTCAAAAGAATCCCGGCGTTATTATTGCAGAAAGTCTCTTATATTAACACTTCGCTGGATTTAAAATATAATAAATTTGTAACAATGTTAATTATCGATCTCAAGCCTGAACTTAGCTTAGGGAGGGGGGGTACCCCTTCTTAGGGATTATTAAAATGTAAGGTCTCACTGTCTGTGAAGAGATATTTTTAGATAAATTACAGATGTTATCTGGAGTATCAGATATCCGGATATCTTGGTAATTATCTTATTATATCAGCCTCAACTTTTGTCAGATACAATAACTGTATCTAACAGTATAACACAATAACTGTATCTATTTCATTATTTAATAAATGTATCAGGTAACAGAGATACAATAACTGTATCCATTTCATTATTTAATAAATGTATCAGGTAACACACGATATGTGTCTCAAGATACGTTTATCATTCCATTGCTGAAGTAGCTTTATCAAGCACTGAGCCACTTGATTGGTTTGTATTTCAGCCTCACTGACCTCACTCTTTATTACATTAAAAACTACAATGGAAAGTAGCCTTATAACATGTTGAGATATAATATAAAAAGTGGTTAATATAATTGTGGTTAAAAATACTGTGCCAGTTAAAAATACTGTGGTTAAAAATACTGTGGTTAAACCAGAACAACACACAGTGTGGAATGTTGTCTGGCGAATGTAGAGACAGTGTCAAAGTGTTATCTTGTGAACCGCATTATTTGCACATAATTGTTGACAACACCACAAATTATGGTGAATATAGTAGCCGTGTGGTTATGTTGTGTGAGTTAGGTGCTATTTAAAGATGACACTTAGCTGATAGTTTTATAAAAATCTAAAACTGCATACTCAGAGCCCGCAGAAGTGGAATTACCAAGCGGCGCAACAATTTTACCAATTTTACCTGCATGTTTCAACCTGGTAATGAATTGAGCTGTCATGTAAGTGATGACTGGAACAAATTCTTGGATTTTTGGAATTTTCTCGATTCAAATTTGCTCACACGATAGATACCAAAATAGCTCATTTCACAAATCTAATGTAAATTTCATGAACCATTGACAATAGTAAATAATAATAATAACAGTACAATGTTTGTAGTCCTATCGTGAGACAAACAGAATATATTACCAGTATTATGTTTGATATATATACCCCAGTAGTCAGTACACAGTGAGATAAAGCTAACTGCTAGATACCATTATACAGTCTACGATTCTACAGAGTCGTGCCCGGCACTTTGAAGTGCAGACTGTTGACAGTATCTACTGTTGTCTACAATCTCTACAACATGTTGGTTTAACACCTCACACTAGATATCCCCTGTTATTTGACAACACCAGCACTGCAGTGTCCTAGCTCCTAATTCCTAAACCTACAACTTATCTATAGCCTGTCATTACAGAGTTTTGACTGAAAACACTTGACTGGGCCGGTGGTGACTGGTGGGTGTCGACGTAAATGTTCTCACATTTTGGGCGATTCTCCAATTTTAGAAGCTACTCACGTCACCTACCTATCTTTAATTCCATACTTCAACGTTATGAAAGGTTTTTGCCATTCAAAAGCATATAATAAAACACTGAACACAATGTCATAACCAGCCAGTCAGTTAGTCAAGAGAGAGAGAGGTCTCTTGAAATGTGTTTAACAGGAGCTCTATCATGTTGACCTCTGAGCTGCACTGCTGATAGGTCACACTATAGGTCACACTATAGGTCACACTATAGGTCACACTATAGGTCACACTATAGGTCACACTATAGGTCACACTATAGGTCACACTATAGGTCACACTATAGGTCACACTATAGGTCACACTATAGGTCACACTATAGGTCACACTATAGGTCACACTATAGGTCACACTATAGGTCACACTATAGGTCACACTGTAGGTCACACTATAGGTCACACTATAGGTCACACTATAGGTCACACTGTAGGTCACACTATAGGTCACACTATAGGTCACACTATAGGTCACACTGAGCTGGTGTGATGTGTTATTGTAGTGAGCCGTCTCCCTCCTGTTGTTAACAAGATTGTCAACAAGGCTGACTTGTTGGTTAGCTTCTCGGGATTGTGCCCAGGAGTGCTGACTAGTTACAGATGGAGGTGTTGTCTGAACTCGCAATTCTTAGAATCACCAAATCCCAGGATTGTAGGATCTAACTTGAATACAGTCAAATCAGCACTCAGCAGCCTCTGAAAGTGAGTACATTCCAGATATGCTGAACTTTTAGCTTCTCAATCTCCATTTTCTGTGGTTCCTCCTGAACTATAATAAGTGATGTAGATGTGTGCTACTGAGTGTGTTCATGTTACTAAGGGGCTATATTTTACATCCTGAACAGTGTATATTAATTTAAAGTTACTCAGTATTGGACTAGTTTTCTAGCTAAAATATTAGCTCCTGACACATTATAAGATTATAGTTAACTAAAATACAGTGCGCCGTGCGGTCAACTTGCAGTTGCACAATGCTGGCAACTATAACATTAATATTCATAATCACTGAATACCAGGGTTATGGCCTGGTGATTCTTTGGAACTATTCTGGAACACTGTGTTTCTGACTTGAACTAAGCTCAAAACCTTTTGTGGGTCTCATTTCCAGCCTTCATCCAAAACGTACCGTGAGTAGTGTGTCCTTGAAGATATTGTTCCA